TTGCTTTTGCATAAAGTGCGAGAGACAAAAATTTACTACTACTACCTCATGTTTCAGCGAAAAAAAATAAACTGGAACAGATTACTGCAAATGCAAATGAACACGATTCTTTGTTTAATTCACCTAATGGATTACATCACATTTGAGTGTAATCTGTTTGTATTTCTTATTTTGTGCTTTAATTTTGTAATTGGGGTATAATTATCTGAGATTATGAATACGAAAGGCAACACTGTATTTGTATAATCAATGAATGTTTTGATTACTACCATTGTTTCGAAACACGTGACTTGGTTGTTATGGTTATTTGTTTATTATGTATTGGCGTGATGTCGGAGGTTGTGAAGTGCGTCGGATGAAGAGACGAATCTGATGGATTTGTGTGTGTGTTATTATGGTTTAGGGCTCGTTGGCGTGAGAACAGGACGATCTTCAACACTCCGAACCCGAGGTTGATGAACGTTTCGCTGCTGAAGGAGAGCAAACTGCTGCACGACAGACGCGGATCCAGAGGAAGCGTTCGCGGTCCGAGCCGTCAGCCGAGCATGGCCTCCTTGAGACCGCATTCGCCGAACTCGCAAGGTAACGCCATGATGGCAGCAAAAACACGTTTACTTTCTTGATTACCGCTTTCGAATGAGCACCATATCATCCACAACGACAGTTAAAAGATCATAGTTATCATCAATCAATCAATCAATTCATTTTGGCACGACCGCAAGCAAGAATCAAAAAATCCCCCGCGTTTAGGGCGTCTGTTTTTAGGGTCGTCGCGACGCGGCTCCCACGGCAGCAGCAACGCTTCGGCCACGTCCACCAGGTCCAACAAGAGCCCGCCTGGAGGAGGCAACGCGGCCGCACAGTCCAACTCGGTCACCGCTCCGATGCTCGAGAGCGTCACCGTCGAAGTCCAGAAGAACTAGATCTCGGATCTAGCACGTTAAACAACAACAACAGCAACAACAACAAAAAAACAATGACGATATATTAATTAGACGCGACGTAGAGTATTTCTTCAGGAGAATCAAAAACGCAATCAATTTACAAGGAAAAGAGAAAAGTATATTTAAAACGTACGAAAACTTATACTTAAACTGAAAAGAAAAGAAAAAAAATGATATTATATAATATACTACAACATATGTAAGCATATGGAGTCTAGCTTTAGTGATGCAAGGGACCAGGAAGTAAACCATTTGTCCACCATCACAGTTTCAAGTTAAATTATTAAAATTAAAAACGAATTCTTTAATTAATTACTTACTTAAATGAAACAGTAAAATAGCTGCGAGGATTAAATTAAACTAATTATAAATAACACACAAGAAGAAAAAAATAAAGGAAACTAATGAGTAGTTGACCTAGTGATTATTTCGCTAATTACTTTCGCACTTGGTACAGTAAAAAAAAAACTATTATAAAAACAAAAATCAAGAACAAAAAAAAAATATGGAGTTATTAATTACTAAATAGAAGACATAGTTAAGATTTTTTCCTAGCACCGGGTTTTTTCTCAAGTTACAGAATCTTCGATACAATTTCTTTCCTTTCTTTTACTTTTAGGACAGAGATTTTGCGTTTGGTGGTTCAAAAAATACTGGGAATATTTTGTGATACTACCAAATATTTATTATATTATATATACACTATGAAACTAAAATGAAACAAGAAGAGAAAAAAAAAAACAACTGTGATTGTATGTGTTTTTCTTTTCTTTCTCGTCTGTTCGTGTGATTCGCGTAGGCTGCCGCCGTTTTTTGTTTTTGTTGTTTGTTTTTTTTCGAAATGGCGGAAAATGCAAGAAACAAGTGACAAAACAAAAGAAAATTCTTGTAGTGTGCGCGCGCGCTTTTCGTTGACAGCTCGCCGTCGGCGTTTCGTCTTTTGAATTGCGTACGGAAATCCGGAAGTCCGCGCGCCACTGTCAGAACGCGAGCGCCGCCGACGGAAAGTAATGGGAAAACTTTTCGCCGGCGACGCCGACTGCGGTGACGCCATTTCCGGATTGCGCAAACCGGAAAAAACCGATGCCGATGACGAGCCGCAACTCTTTATTATACATTATATACTTATAATATATACTATCTACATATATATATATATACATTACACGATGTTTTTTGATTCTACAAATTTTAGATGTTTCAAAGCTTGCTTTAATTAACAATTAATTAATTAAAATCAACAAAAAAAAAATGAACAAAAAGAAGAAAAAGTATTACAAAAAAAATAATTATTACGAGAGTTATATGATTACTAGGCTAAGGCGTTTCTAATCAATTCTTAGCTTATAACCAAATGATTATTATTACTATTATTAATTATTATTATACAAAAAAATTAATTATATATATAAATCTTTATACTCTTGTACTGTAAACTGTATTTTCACATCTAAATCTAAACGAACTACAAAAAAAAAACAAATGAAAACATATTGTACTTGCCAATGAACTTTTAATAAAATGCTATCGAACTTAACCCTTTTTTCCCCTTTTTTCTTTTTGCTGTTTTCCTTCTTCCAACGCGTGAACTATATATTTTTTTTTGTATCGAACGTTAAAGTCTAACTTATCCGATAAATGCGTATGTATGTGGACTGATTGAGATAACGAGGGTCGAGGCATGGACGCATCGAGTCACCCAATTTCATTCTCTGCGTCGTCGAGGCAACAGCATCAACAACCTCCTGACAGAACACTTTTCTGCAATTGTTTTGTTTTGTTTTTGATTACGTTACAATTTTTGTTTAATACACGACCATGAAAGCCGTCGATCGCAGAACTCTGAGCGTAAGTAACAATAACAATCATTAGTTTTTTGTGCACGTTCAGCTTAAAATTAGTTGCGAAAGTTGCGTCACTGATCGGCGAATTCTTCGATTTGCTAAATATAGCATTTGTTTATTTATAAACAAAGTCGCAGATAATTTGATTTGCAGCAACAACAACAATTATTTCTCAAGTAAGTGCATTGAATCCAATTAACGAAAGCGAAAGTGGTATTATTTACTAAATATTTGTTAGTGTAAAGCGAATACTTTGAAGGTGACTTTGACCGAGCAATGACGAATAGACGCGTACTCAATTAGCGAAAGAAACTGAAAAGAAAAACGATCTAAATTGAATTTAGCTTTTAAATCGATTACACGAAACCTGTGCAAACTTATGTCATCGGACACGTATGATTTAATTTTGTTATCTTAGTAAACATTGAGATGCGTTTAGATTTCCTGATAATGACCGATAACCACTACTGTTTACATTCATTACGAGCATTAAAACATTTTTTTTTTATTTGCGACTGTAAAAATGTTTAATGTGTATATGGAAATTATTTATTTGTGGACGTACGAAAGTTCGTAATCTGAAAATCTAGACTGCGGTGAACACGAATGAACTTTTTGTTTTATTAGCGTTATTATTAATTACACGAAGCAATGAAATAACCGTGTTTATTGATTACGGATATTTCTTTTGTTTTTTTTTTGTTGACAATAATCACGTAGGTTATGAATCATTTTATGCGAAAATATTAATGGGGGAATTTCCGTTTTTTTTTTGTTTTGTTTTTTTTTAATTTTCCATGGAAATAAACTGAGTGTGCGACGTGATGGATTTCATGAAGGCATCGACGAGATTGGTGTCAGCAGGCGCAGTTAGGAAATAAGGTCAAATTGTGCTCGAATCTAGATGAAAAACATAATAAGTTAAAGATTATTTGCTGAATACTTATAAGATTTAGGATAATTAGTCAAATTTCATTTAGTCAACTATATAAATTCGAAAGTAAATTTTCAAAACTTTTATGAAGAGATTTTTGTAAACTAAACAACTGTAGTTTT